TTAGACTACAATATTACACTCTACACACTACAGTCAACACTCCCTCAGGCTGCAGAACGTGTGTGTAATCAGTATCTGCCGTTATAATGGTCTTCAAGTGTGTCTTCCACTGGTGTGATTGCAGGAGAAGTGGCAGGACAGCCGGCGCTGGACGCTCAGCACAGCCACACAGCTGCCGGAGCTGGAGCAGAGTCTGCGGCCCAACTCGGGCTTCGGGAACAGCGGTGGGTTCGGGAACAGATCAGGATTCGGGAATCGCTCTGGGAATCGTTCAGGATTCGGAAACCGTGGAGGACGAGGACGATCATCCGGCTTCAGGAGCTCAGGACGCGGTGGAGGAGGAGGACAGAAACGCAGCTTCAGTCGGGCCTTCAACTACTGACCCTGCACTCTCTGATGGTCTGCAGACCGTCAACTTTTATTATTACCACAATTAATATTTGCTCGCTCAGGGCGTCAGTATCCATTACATACACTGACTGCTTTTACTGCAGTTGTGCTGTTTATACGAGGAGTCCCACTGATATTAAAGTGGCGTTAAAACCACACCTGTTTCTGCATCCTCCTTCAGTCTTCTGGAATGCACGCTACATCTGATTATTAGTATGAGAGTAATATCATCATCATCATCATCACCGCAGCTGAGTGCAATAGATGAGGTTAGTTTAATGTGTCATGCATAGGGTGTTTATCTAGATCTGACCAATCAGAGGAGGTCTTTACGGTCTTAAGCTCCGCCTCTGCAGCAGGTGCTGGATGATGAACACTGATGCTGGAAACAACAACAGCCAATACGCAGCAGTATTTCTGCAGAGGTTTATGTTTAAGTCTAAATGTTGCACCTTTTTTATTTATTAGCTTAGAAAAACATTTTACCCTGTTTATATTAATACGATCAAAACAAATACATTTGAAGTTGCTGATATACTGCAGAAAATGTCTGTTTCTAATACAAATATCTAAAAACTCTTAAATCAAGAAGCATTTTTTAAGTAAACATAGTTTTGTTTTCAAAAAGGGTCAAACCTGAGCATGTTTTTCCTTAAAATAAGCATAATCTGTTGATGGGGTAAGAAATATACCACATTAACCCCAAATTCTGACCCCATTTGTGGATTTTGTTCGCTTGTTTTAAGGAAAAACTCCCTTATAATAAGTTCTTAATAGACATTGTACATGTTGATTTGATGCAGACTTTACCTCTGAGAGCTGATTCACACACACACACACACACACACACACACACACGTCTGCATATTAACAACAGTGTGAACGAGACACTAATGACAGCAAACAGTCAAAGAAAGATTTATTATAATATAAATATGGTGTGGCTGAAGAGTGATGTGCAGATTCACCATCATTACACTGCAGAAACGCTTCTCTTTCTTGGGTTTGGTCTTGTTCTAGTCTAAATATCTTAATATTAATACATCAAGCATTTTCTAGACAAATTATAAATGTTTTTGTGTTTGGAAATGAGTCAAAACCAGCAAAATATCCTAATGTCAAAAGGAAAACTCTTCTCCCTATTCCTCAGATTATTTTGCTTGTTTTACTCTCTTCAGTATTTCTGAACACAAGAATATGCTGTTTACTCGTTTAGAAATGCTTCTTGATTTCAGAGTTTTTAGATATTTGTACTAGAAACAAGACACACACACACACACACACACACTGAGTAAGAGCTGCAGTTTTTGCAGTGTAGATGTGCTGAAGGTGAACTGCAGATTCATTTCAGGAAATACAGAAATCATTTCAAGTTAAACTCAAAATCCTCCTGGATGTTTTTCACAGTCTCTGAGCTGTTCATGCACTGCTGAGCTTTTCCTTCAGATGAAGTGGCGGATCTTCTAGTCATACTGTGCTGGTGAAATAGTGTGAAGATTACAGTCAGTCTGAAAGGAGAATCCTGGAAAGTCCACCGTCTCTCCTGAAAACAGAGGTGTTTACAGATTTAGGGCATTATATGATCTCTGATGAACACTTTAAACACCTATTCTGCCACTTTCTACAAGCTGTAAGTGTGTGTGTGTGCGTGTGTGCGTGCGTGCGTGCGTGTGTGAGAGAAAATGTTCTCCAGCTCTCTGAAACTGACCCTTTCAGGATTTGATCCTCTGTGGTGTTTTGATGACTCAACTCTGTTCCATCAGTTATTAAAAGGCAGAACAGTCAGTAAAGCATGGCCTCGGTGTGCCGTCAACTCTACATTTGTTTTAAGGAATATGAATGGAAGATGCTTGAAATGGACCCATATTTCTGCAATGAGTCTAGTACACACTGAGTGCACTGAAAGAAGCTGAGATCTCGATAGCCAGAGTTGGCATTCCCTGATTTATTGGGACACTCTTGTTAGTTTTTATCCTCTATATTGGATATAATGGTAGAGTAGGATGTTTTGTTACCCAGGCACCCCGTCCATGTGGAGTTGGGTCTCCAGCCTCGCTCGCCGTCATATGAGGAAGCCCAGTGATCCAGAGTCTTCAGATGATCCACAATCTGCAGGACAAATGCGCGTTAACTTCAGTCATCCATTCTACCATCACTGATACACTGAACTGAGCAAGAACACCTAATAAAGACACTGTCTTGTGACCAAACACTGGGTTCAGTTAAGTTTAGATTTAGCTCACCGCAGAGGATGCGTTTCTTGTTGTTTGTCTTGTTTCTTGCCATTAATTTAAAATATCAACAACAAAAAACTCTGAAATTAAGAAGTTTTCTAGACAAGTAAACCATATGGTGTTGTTTTCAGAAATATTGAGTCAAAATAAATAGAGTATTTCATTAAAACAAGCTAAATAATCTTCCGTTTTGACAATATTCTGTTCACCCGAGATGGATGCTTCCAGGTGAATAACAAGGGGGGTCCTGGGGGATTAAATGCTTGCTCCATCTGAAGGACATCAAAACAAGATGTAATGAGGGGTCTCACTTTGATAATGTGACATAATTTGCTCTGAGCTCTATTTTTAAATTACAATGTTACCAATTAAAGTAATAAATAATATAAATACACATTTGACCACCCCTATAATGGCCCATACCATTGTGAACTAATTATCGCGTCAATCAGTCTGAGCAGTCATTAATCAGCAGCCTGACACTGCAGATGTGGAGCACCGATAGGCCCCGTAAGTGTTTACAAGACTGTTCACTCGTAAAATAGGTGTTGGTATATACTACATATATTCTAAAAGTAGTCAAACTTGACGCATTCTTTGACCTAACGTCTGAAATAGCTAATTAGAGGATGCTGTAATTCACAATTATCCTGAAACGTATATTCATTTCATAAATAAGCTAGATGTAATTTAAATAAATGCATATTTTGATTCACTGAGGCATGTATAGCATTTACAAACAACTACTGTAAAAGTTTACACCCCCCCTAATCGTCAGTCATGTGTAGTTCGCATCCTGGATGCTGCTGTGGTTTGGGTTTGAGGCGTTTGGGATCTATAGGACCACTGAAACAGCTGGATGGAGACCATTTGTTAATCTTGTTTTCTGTTTGAGACAATAGGTGCGTTCGACATGAAGCTCAGCTGCAGCCGGTGATCAACGAGATTAGCCGAGCGCAGGCGGGGCGGAGTTGATAACAGAGCCGTCAAGACGGACAGCTGGACACTTCGGGACTCAAAGTTGCTGCAGTCATGATGACCGATCACATGGCGTCATCATATTTTTTTGTTATTTTTATTTATAACAGCAAAACATTTACAAATAAAACAGAATACAGTTTCTACAAACTGTAATTCCTTTTTAAACAATAAGAGAGAATTATGAATAAAATATATAACAAATGCATGAGAGAAATAAGAGGAAATGAGAGGTTAATATAAACATAAAAACGAACAGGTCTATTAAATACAAAGCAATAAGCATAAATTCTAGGAGTTAAACATCAATCTTTAGGCTAATACTTCTTGTTTAAATATGCTAAAAAAGGGTTTACATATATGTACATTTATAGATATAAAAATTTCCAATGTAAAAAGCAAAACAAGGTGTTTTGATTAGGTCTTAATAAATGACATTATTTTGGATAATGAATGAATTTTCAAAAAAGCATTTTAATCCAAAAAGATTGTGTTGAAAAGAACAAAAGGTAAAATAAGTGAGCGATGTAGAAGTTTTCTAGAAAGAGCAGGTAGTCTATAAACTGCTAGACAGGAAATAAAATAGATATTTATATTATAATAATAAAACCATTTTATAATTATTAAATAAAATAGTTCATGGAGATGAATGCAGTAAATAGTCTGTATAAAAAAAAAGTTAAAAATAAACCTGCGCAAACAAGCTAACTTTTATAACCAGATTATTTAACTAAAGATGATTACTGCAGTAAAATATTTGTAGTCTTTTAATAAGCAAGATGTGTACAGGATAGAGAGGGTGTAAAAAGTGAATTGTTTGTTTTGAAACTTTTGAATCGGAATTTGTCCAATTATAAACCTGAAATACACGTGTTTGTTGTCATGAGGTGAACTCGGCCAATCGTGTAATATCGGTGTCGTCATCAAAGCTCCTGCAGTCGCTCTTCAGAAGCTGCACGGTCTGAGTTTGCCGTCTGATCTCGGAGCGCTGTCGCGGTACTTTGATGCCACATGTGACAGTCACGTGGCGTCGGCGCAGCATCAATCCGGACAAGATTTCTAACCAGAATGCACCGCTTTAAGACAGATTTCGATCGATCTGCGCAGCGCTGCATGAAGTCGAACGCACCTTTTATTTATCATCAACGTGAGTCCTGTAGGATGATGAAAACTACAGCTCCCATGATTCCATGCTATAGTGTTTTGCTTTAGTGTGGTTTGGTTATTTTACTCTGCCCAAATGGCTGTAATTGGGCTAATAGAAACAAGAAGAGGCCTGCACTGGTGGACTAGAATCCTTCCTGTCATTTGTTTTGGTAGTTTTTTGTATTTTCCTTCACTGTGTGTGTGTCACCACATTATGAGGACGCTGTGAGGGGTTAATGTGCAAGTGTGTGTGTCGCCAAGATAAGTGTTGAATCTACTCATCATCAACATGAGCTCTGCTGTAGGACGATGAAGACTACATCTCCCATGATTCCACACTGTAGAGTTTTGAGTTAGTTGTGTGTACTTTGGCTTGGTTATTTTGCACGCGTGTCTGTAACTGGGCTTATAAAAGGCCTGCAGGGGTGGACGAGTAGTTTTGTCCTTTGTTTTGTTAGTTTTGTTGTATTATCCCCTCGCCACATCATGAGGACGCTGTGTGTTGTGTTTCCTCATATAGAGCTGAGCTAGTCTAATATGATTTACTTCTGTATCACATATTATAGTTCTGTGTAATGAATCCACTGATGTTGTGTGTATAAGAGTTACTCAATTTACTCTGTTTCCCCAGGATTATAAGTGATGAAGACTCTACTCATCATCAACATGTGTCCTGCTGTAGGATGATGAGGACTACATCTCCCATGATGCCACAGTGTGGTGTTTGTACCTTCAGCACTGCTTCTGTCTGCTCGTGTTCGTCTGTTCTGTTGATCTGCAGTCCTGCACAGGTCAGTAATCAGTGTGTTTACACCTGTACTAATGTTTACCGTCAGTAAAACACACACTAGTGTACTGCGTAATACCCTGCGCTCGCTCCTCCTCTGAGTCCTTCATCAGTCCAGCAGACGCTCCTCTGTCATCTGGAAACTTCCAGAAGGCCTCTGTGGAGAACACACAGACCACAGCTACACATTCAACCAACTTTACCTGAAACATTCAGCTGTAACAAACTGTCTCGGCAGGTGTGTGTGTGTGTGTGTGTGTGTGTGTGTGTGTGTGTGTGTGTGTGTGTGTGTGTGTGTGTGTGTGTGTGTGTGTGCGCGGCTCGTACCTGTGAATCTCTCCAGGGAGTTTCTCTGTGTTTGTGCTGCAGGTGAAGCTTCTTTACTGTCTGTGTCTGAATACCGTAACGCTGCTGATAAACACACACGAGACTCGACTCAAACACTATTACCAACACACTGCTGACGCTCTTCTTCTTTTGTAAGTTGCTTTAGATCTACTAAAGGCATAAATGTAGTATGTCATGTTGCTGTGTTATGCAAAAGTTTGTGAACCCCCCTGTAGATGTCCAGGGTTATTTTGCTAGAGCGCATCAGTTTGTCAGGGATTGGACGAAGTTTGCTTAGCCACGCCCCTCCAACCATTACAAATAAAACCCCGCCCCCTACTCAAGGCTTGACTTTGAACCATGTCAGCATACTGAAATTAAAGCCTGCAGCATCCTCCAGTTCATGCAGGCTTAAAGAGCTGGGGGTGAAAACCTTTGAGCAGTATATAGATGTCCATTTTTATCTTTTTTATATCATATATATTTATCATTTTAAGTTGAACATTTGCATGCTTCCCAGAAGACAAATTAAGTACAATTGACCTTGATCTGGAATGTGCAAAAGTTTTCACCCCCTCCATCTTAATGCTGGCTGTTTCCTTTCGCAGCATCAGTGAGTTATTTATTTATTATTGTAGTTATTGTTGTTGTGTTTGAATCCTTTAATTGTCCTGGCAATCTGCAAATAATTTGAATAATCAGAGGATTTTCTGAAGATCAGAAGCAGACTTGCAAACAAACCTCACAAGAGAGATGTTATAAAATCAGTCATAGATCATCACTGTATTAAAAACCTTTACACCTCACAAACTTATTGTAATAGTTCCAGCTAGTGTCCTGTGAGCTGAACATCTTTTCTGTAAAATATCTTTCTAAGGGCAGTGCTGAATTAAAAACAACACGCATTTATTTTGATCTGTCTTATTTTGTTAAATAATCCACCGGTCCTGCAGGGGGTCTCATACTTTTGCACGGTGCCGCCGTACCTTTGCGTCTCCTGATGGTTTTGCAGTGCGGCAGCAGCGCGTACACCCTGAAGGCGTTGTGGCCTTTCTTGATGCTTCTGTCCTGCAGCTCTTTGACGTCGGTCAGGGAATTGAGAGCGCATCTGAAGTTCGCCTTCCACGTTTTAGGATCCGGTTTGTCTATTCCAGGCTTATATCTGCCTGAACACACAAAAGGAGGAGACTTATTAGGATTATTACACATTATTTACAAGTGCTTGCTTGTTTTAAGGAAAAACTCTCTTCATTTTGACTTGTTATTTCTGTAAACAACACTATATTATTGTGCTTGTCTGGAAAATGATCATTGATTTAAGAGTTTTTAGATATTTGGACTAGAAATGAGACAAAAACTCAACATCCCACAATGCAACTCACAACCGGAAAAACCCAAAACACACCAAATACAGAAACTGTTCATTTGCAGGTGTGTGTGTGTGTGTGTGTGTGTGTGTGTGTGTGTGTGTGTGTGTGTGCATGTGTGTGTGTGCGTGTGTGTGTGTGTGTGTGTGTGTGTGTGTGTGTGTGTGTGTGTGTGTGTGTGTGTGTGCGTGTGTGTGTATACCTGTGTGAATGGCCCAGTTCCTGAACAGTGTTGCGTCCTTGTCAATGTTCCAGCCGTGTCTCGCTGCATGTTTCCAGGGGATCTGGAAAACTCTGGCCGACTACAGTTATAATAATACATAAATTAGGGATAATAGTAATTTAATTCAACACAGAAATATCAATAACAGTTCAGAGTAAAGGACATTTGACAGATGTGACTTGTGTCAAAGATCAGTCAAGTACAGACACTATTAGTGCTTGTGTCTTGATTTCAGTACGAAAAGAATAAATGTTCTTGTTTTCTATAAACAAAACTATGAGAATGTAAAATAAGTGGTGAAAAGAAAGTGCTTTAAAAGAAAGAACAAACATCAGTGTGGTCAGAAAAATGTGATTTTTTAACTTTAAATGAACAATTTATTGGACATAGAGCCATATAAGCCTTCACTGACATTGATTAAAGTCATAAAAGTCTTGTCATAATGCTTAATAACACCCCGGCGGTGTTTTTCAATTTACAATGAGTTTTCAAGCAAGAATGATGGGATAATTTAACTTTAAATTAGTTTAAGGAACATATACAGTTGAAGAATTATTCACCCGCCTGTATCCCCAGTTTCTCTTTAATAGAGAGCAGATTTCCTCAACACATCTCTGATCATAACAGTGTTAATAACTCATCTCTAATAACTGATTCCTCTTCTCCATGATGACAGCACATAATATTAGACTAGATATTCTTCAAGACACTAGTGTTCAGCTTACAGTGACATGTAAAGGCTTCACTAGGGTAATTAGGGTAAAGTTAGGGTAATTAGGCAAGTCATTGTATAACAGTGGTTTGTTCATGGAGACAATCCAACACTAATATTGCTGAAGGGGCCAATAATATTGACCTTAACATGACTTTAACACTATTAAACACTGCTTTTATTCTAGCCCAAATAAAACAAATAAGCTTTCTCCAGAAGAACAAATATTAGAGGAAACACTGAGAACAACTCCTCAATCTGTTCAACATCATCTGGGAAATATTTGAAAAAGAAAACAAAATCACAGGAGTGAATAATTCTGACTATAGAGAGTTTATAAGTGGGATTAATATACGCTGAACTGTACCTGGTCCAGCCACTGGACTCCCGGGTATCTGCCGGACTGGATCTGTTCCTCCAGCCAGGGCCGTAAGCGCAGACGCCCCTGATGCATGTCTCCAACCGGCTCTGATCTCTGAACTGAGAAATAAAACACACACTGAACGCTCCAGAAACACACACTGAGCACTCAGGAGTAAAGCGTAGAGCGAGCGCTCAGTCCTGCACTGCACCGACAGGTTTGGAGGCTGTATTTCTGCGGTGACGAGGGGCCGCTCAGAGTCACGCCTCCACACGCTTCACTGTCAGGAGGAAACACACTACACACACACACACACACACACACACACACACACACACATTTACTGTTTGATCACTCTTTATTTACTGTTTCCGTCCACAGCTCACTGAACACACTAACTCACATTCACTACACTACACAGATGGGTTCTCAGAGTTTTGTCTTGTTTCAAGTCCAAATATCTAAATATTCTTACATCAAGAAGCATTTTCTAGACAAGCAGAAATTATGGTGTTGTTTTCAGAGATAATGAGGAGAAATCAAGTGAGTTTTACCTTAAAACAAGCAAAATAATCTGCCAAAGGGGGAAGAGAAATGATCATAAGGAGAAACTCTCTTCATTTTCCTCATTATTTCTGAAATGAAGACACGATGGTTTAATTGTGTCGAAGTGCTTCTTTTTGAGCTGTTTGGACTAGAAACGGGACACAAACGCAGTCAGAAAGCTTGTTTTGCAGACGGTGTGGGCATTAGAGCTCCTGAGATTGAGATCAGCTTTAATGTTTCTTACTAAACTCGTGAGTCACTTTGAGCTTCACCTTTTTTCCTGAGAATCTCGAGAGCTCCATGCATCTCAGGTATTTTCCAATGAAACAAGTATCGGTCTTGCTCTTCACATCTCCAAATACCTCTAATTAAAGGGTTAGTTTGCACAGAAATAACTACATAATCACAGAAATAATGCTGTATATGCAGGGGATGTAGACTGAAGCTGAAGCTCTGGCCAGTGTGGTGTTGTCGGTGCTCTGTCTGCTTGTCTCCTCCTGCTGTTCATCTTCACTGATCTTCAGTCCAGCAGTAGAGCAGAGTGTGAAGCTTCATCAGCAGAGGAACAGCACAGCACATACTGCACACAACACTGCATTATGGGGACACAGCAGAGTTCAGAAGAGGACAGAGTGCTGGTGTGTGTCTGTGAGCGAGACAGCAAGAGTGTGTGATGATCAAGAGCCGCGGTGTCCAGAGTCATGTCAGCAGACCACCAAGAAGAAGAGGAAGCACATCCAGCAGGAGGAGTTACGGTGTGGAGAAGCCCCAAAGGAGCGGCCCACCCAGACTGCTGATGCCCAGAGTCAAGCATGGGGGGGTCACTGAGGGTTTGGGCTCAATAGCATGGCATTCTCTAGACCTGGTGCTCATGGGTCACTTCCAAGGACTAACCAACCATTCTGGAGGAGCATGTGACCCAATGGGTAAAACATCCTGAAGGCGATGGTGTGTGTCAGGATGATGATGCAGTGATACACACAGCAGGACTGGAGGCAGAGCGGTCTGATGAACATGACAGTGAAGCTGAACATCTCCCATGGCCTGCACAGTACCCAGAACTAAACATTATTGAGCACTTTGGGCTGTTTTGGAGGAGCGAGTGAGGGAAGGTTTTCCTCCAGCAGCATCAGTAGTGACCTGAACACTATTCTGAAGAAGAACAGCTCACAACCCCTCTGACCACAGTGCAGGACTCCTGTCTGTCATCCCCAACACCAGCTGATGCTGCATTTAGAATACTTGATACAGACAGAAACCTTATTATAGCAGTGAAGACGCTCTCGATGTTTATCTTGGGACCCTTGCTGTCTGTGGAGGATGAGAGAGCTCCAGGATTTCATCTACATATCTGCATTTGTGTCTCTAAAATAAACCAGATGTCTCAGATGATTGAAACCACATGAGGCAGGGGAACTACAACAGAATCTTCATTTGTGGGTGAACTGACCCTTTAAGACCTCTGGCAAACATAGAAAGGGAATATAAAACATTGAGAATCAGGACTAGCTCTTCTTCCTCATCATATTTCTGTCCCAGTATAACCAGCAGCAGAGTAAATGAGGAGGATTTCTGTGTTCATTATGTCTGTGTAATTTCCCCCTTCAGGGTGTTGATTTAAGGGCTGATGCTGGAGCAGTGTTGTGTTTCAGCAGAACAGAAGTGTATCAGTGATTAACACACACACACACACACACACACACACACACACACACACACACACAGCAGATCTGTTGTTGTAGAACTGGATCCAGCAAACATGACCGCGCGTGCTGTAGAGAAGACAATCAGAGCCGCGACTGAAACATCCACACGCCTCACTCTCACATCTGCAGAATCAGGAGAAGCGCCTCTGTGCTGTTTCAGGATTTTAAAGGTTTTGACTGATCACACTCTGCAAAAACACATTTTCTTTCTTATTTTCTTTCCTATTGTCAGAAATAATGAGGCAAGATTGAGTTTTCTTTAAAACAAGCAAATTAATAAGTCAAATAATCTTGTTTTTCCTTTTGACATATGTTTATTTCTCTTCCACTATTGTCAGATTATTCTGCTTGTTTTAAGCAAAAACTCTCTTCATTATTTCTAAAAACAATGCTAGATTTTATTTGTCTAGGAAATGCTCCTTGATTTCAGATATTTGGAATAGAAACACGACAGAAACTCTCAGAGTATTTGTCTGCATCCTTTAAGCTCTTTGAGAATTCAGATTTAAAGGCGCTACTTAAACAATATTACTGGGGTTACACTATTTAATAATAGTAATATAAATAATTATATAAACTATATATAAAAATATTTATTCATTTTCTTTTTGGCCTAGTTCCTTCATTAATTTGGGGTGCCCTTCTAGCCGCAACCCATCACTGGAAAACACTCATACACTCATTCACACTCATACACTACGGCCAGTGTAGTTGATCAGTTCCCCTATAGCGCATGTGTTTGGACTGTGGAGGAAACCCACGCCAACACGGGGAGAACATGCAAACTCCACACAGAAACACCAACTGACCCAGCCGAGACTCAAACCAGCGACCTTCTTGCTTTAGGGCGACAGCACTACCTACTGTGCCACCGCATCGCCTATAAAAAGATATGTATTTTTAATATAAGTACACTGTACACTACGGGACAAAAGTTTGTGGTCATTTTCCTTTTTTTCCCATGTTTTTATTTATTATTCTGTTGATTAAGGCAGCATTTATTAAATGTAAATAAATTGTTCAACTGTAAAATGTTTATTAAAATTGTAAATAACTGCTTTCTTATTGTATGTAGATTCAAATGAAATTATTACTCCAGTCATTATTGCTTTAATAACTATTAACATTAGTAATAATAATAACAATAATAACTTTAATCATAATAAAATAATAATAACAATAATATTATTAATAATAATAATAACAATACCACTACTACTACTACTAATAATAATAATAATAATAATAATAATAGATAATAACTAATATTAGAGTGATTTCTGAAGGATCATGTGACTGCAGTAATGAAGCTGAAAATTCCCCTTTAAAATCCCTGTAATAAATGATTAAATGAACTGATGAACTCCTGTTGAACAGTTATTTTATAGTGCATTGACATTTCACGTTTTTACACTTTGTACTGTATTTATGATTAATAAAAGCGGCTTTGTTGAGCAGGAGAAGCTGATTTTAACACATTTAATCATATTGAGCCCAATCTTTTGCCCGGTAGTGTACGTACATAATGCATGGTACCAAATGATTCATTTAAATCTGTTCATAATAGTTAAAGTGACTAAATTGATTATAAATGAGTATACCTTCAGTTTGGATGTAAACTATAGAAATGCATTCTTTTGGTTTCATTCTTTCAGTTCCAGATTTCAGACAAACACAACTGTAAACTGAAGAGCCTGAAGGCAGAATGTACAGATCATCAGTTAACCCTGCAATGAGGAACAAGGAAAATATGAACACAAACGAGCTGGAGCAGATGAGCTGAGCTGAGCTGAGCAGATCTGGCTTTCCCTACCAATATTTCATCACATTTTCCAATATCACATTAAAAATGCTTGATGGAAACACTGTGATGTGCATAACTGTTGAAAATGTGGATAAACATGCATGCACACAACTGAGTGTTTAGTCAATAAGAGTAAACGCTACTAAACTGTGTGTGAGGGTCTGTGCATCATTAATGTTGCTGTGACAGATTTACATGTGTGTGTGTGTGTGAGAGTGTCTTCAAGAAGAGCTCAGACACAGCACACCCATCACTCGGCCTTCAGTTGATTATTAGATATCTGCTAATGAATGCTCTTTACCATGAGGGATGATCAGCAGTGTGTGAGATATGAAGATGTAATCCTGTATGTACACTAAACAACAAGAAGAACCTGCTGCTGAGACCATCAATCACTCACCGATAAGGAACTTAAGAAATCACAGCGCACAAATGAGGAGAGATAAGGAGGAAGGAAACCTGACACTGAGACACACACACACACACACATACACACACACACATACACACACACACACACACATACACACACACATACACACACACATACACACACACACACACACACACACACACCGGTAACCACAGAAACCAGCAGGAAACACACAAAAAGAGGCTCCATTACAGATACAGAGCCCAGCGCTCATCTGTCTGTTACAGTGGACAAACTATCAGTGCAGCTAGAAAACACTCCAACACTGAGCAGTGGGTAGCACGATCGCCTCACAGCAAGAAGGTCTCTGGTTCGAGTCCTGGCTGGGTCAGTTGGCATTCTGTGTGGAGTTTGCATGTTCACCCCGTGTTGGCGTGGTTTCCTCTGGGTGCTCCAGTTTCTCCACAGTGTATGAGTGTGTGTGTGTGTGTGTGTCTGTATGGGTGTTTCCCAGTGTTGGGTTGTGGCAGGAAGGGCATCTGCTGCTTAAACATATGCTGGATAAATTGGCGGTTCATTCCACTGTGGCGACCCCTGACTAATAAATGGACTCAGCTGAAAAGAAAATGAATGAAGTGAGTTTTTATTAAAATGAGCAAAATAATCTGCCAATAGAGGAAGAGAAATAAACTAATGTCAACACAAAAGACTAAATTACTTTTACTGCTTATATACCCCTTACAAATCCTTGATTATTGGATAAATCCACCCCTGATTATTATTATTTTTTTTTTTTAATTAATATTATTATTATTATTACTAACTAATATTATTAAATATTATTATTGTTACTAATAGTATTATTATTGTTATCATTATAATTACTATTATTATTATTACTGATATAGTATTACTACTAGTATAATTTTTTATTACTATTATTATTATTATTATTGCAACGCAACTCAAACCACTAATCTATATAAGTTCTGTGAACTTACTCCATTTGAGCTGAAGGATTGAGAAGTAAAACTCTTTTTAAATGAGTAGAATTAACGTTTCAGTCAATTTTGAGTTAACAACACTTATTTCATTTGATAAAGTTGACTGTTGTGTTTTACAGTGTGCTATTATTATTATTATTGTCATTATTATCTTATCATTATTATCATTATAATGATTAATATTATCATCATTAGTCAGTGCTGCAGGTCTGACAGTTGCCGCTAGAGGGCCTCAGCGCACTGAATTCTGTTTATCATGTTGTTTTTGTTTACCTGTGATTCTCTGTGTTGTGTTTCCCCTGTGTGCGTGTCAGTATTGTGTCATTCTGTCTCTGCTAGTCTGTTTGCTGTCTTCATCATGTGGTGAATGTTTGTGTGTTCAGTTGTTGTTGTTGCTCAAGCTGATCTCTGACTGGACTCTGCAGGATCTGTGGCGTTTCAGCGGGTCAAAGAGCAGCTGATTATTGAACAGAGCAGGAATAAATGCAGAATCTCTCAGTACTGAGGAGCAGAGCTGAATAAATCAAGGTGTGTTTGCTCTGAATCTCAGGCTGTTCGGCCTGTTTAACCAGTCTGTGCTCAGCGGAGGAGCAGGCCATCAACATTCAATATGTCATGATGTATCCCCACCGGTCCTACACCACCCAACCCACTCTGAGCTGAGACTGAATCCGCCACCTTCACATGGGAGTCGGCTGCTGTAACAGCGAGGCTAAAGACCATGGCCTACTGTCTGTCACTAGAGCACCTTTACAGGTCAGAGGAGGGAGCTTTACCTGCACAATGGCAACATAAATTTAATATGTTATATTATATTATATTATATTATATTATATTATATTATATTATATTATATTATTAATTATATTATATTATTATATTATATTATTTTATATTATTATATTATATTTATTATATTATATTATTATATTATATTATATCATGTTATTATTTTATATTTATTATATTATTTATTATATTATATTATATATTATTATATTATATTAATTATATTATATTTATTATATTATATTATATTATTATATTTATTATATTATTATGATTCAATTTAAGTTTAATGCAAAGTTGGTGTTTCCCAGTACTGTGTTGCAGCTGGAAGGGCATTGGCTGTTTAAAACATATGCTGGAATAGTTGGCAGTTCATTCCGCTGTGGCGACCCCTGATGAATAAAGGGACTGAGCTGGAGGGAAATGCTGATTGGTCATTGCTGTGATGCGTGAAGAGTGAAGCACAGCTTGTAATGAGGAGAGCAGTACTGAACAGTGATTTACTCTGCACTTGAACTGAACTGTGCATTCCTTTTGCTGGATGAATTGAATGATATAACAGATGTAAACATGCGGGGTTTGTGCATCATGTGACTTCTTTATCTGTTCCCAGTTTCATTTACTGTGTAATAAAGTATCGTGCGTCACTTTTCTTCCTCATATGCTTATATTAGTAATAAACCCTCCGATCTTCTCCACCCTTGAGCTCAGTATAATACTGAAAGCCTGAGACAGGAGCAGTGTGTGCTGTTCATCTTCATTCATTATATTCATTCATTCAGTTGTATTATGAGTTATGAGTTTCTTTCTTCTGTTAAACACTAAAGGGGATGTTTTGAGGAATGCTGAAAGCTGGTAACCATTGAAGTCTTTGTTTTTTTTTTCAACTTTGAAAGTCAATGGTTACCGGTTTTCTGCATTCTTTAAATATCTTAATTTGTGTTCAACAGAAGAAACTCATAAATTTAAAACCATTTAATAGAAAGTAAATACATTTTCTGCAGAGCTATCTCTTTAATATCAAGCATGTGTTTGTGTGCAGATCAGGTTTGGATAGAATTTAAAAAATAAATGCATTCATCCTTGGTGTAAAGCGTGTTTGTGATTCTGTTACACTGACTAAAGTGCCTTAGTTTGTGTCTTTATTCTAGTTCAAATATCTAAAAGCTCTCAAACCAAGAAGCATTTTCTGGACAAGCGCAAAGTATAGTGCTGTTTTCACAAATAATGGGTCAAAGTGAAGTGTTTTTCCTTAAAACAAGCAGAATAATCTGCACATGTGAGGATATTTCTTAATTTAAACTGTAACTAAAATAAATAAAATCACCACATGCTGAAAGCTTTAATGTGAATAAAGTAAAAATGTAAACAGTTATAGACTGCAGGCCTGTAGCAGCTGGTTATGGCCTGGACTCTGTAGTCACTCCATACCACAGTAATGATCCCGAAAGTCGGCTTTGCATGACAGAAATATGTTAAAGGTTTAAATAAATCACAACAGCAAACACATATTTTAATTTATAATAATATTTGATCAAAATAAACCTGCATCCTTACTGAACAGGTAAAAATAAATTAATATAACTTAGCCCATCTGCCTCTTGTATAATACTGAAATATTAGAGTATATTCAGGCCATTAATGTCACTATACGTTTACATTTTTGAGAGATTATGTAAACTGAATTATTTTTAATATTACACTGTAAAACATGTTATACATTTGGACTAGAAACAAGACAACAAAATCTTAAATCAAGAAGCATTTTCTAGAAAACAATCAGCAATAATGGGTCTAAATTAAATGAGTTTTTCCTCAAAATAAGCAAAATAATATTGTTTTTGACATAATATTGTCTTTCTTCCCCTGTTATCAGATTATTCTGCTTGTTTTAATGAGAATCTCTCTTCATTTTGACTCATTATTTCTGTAAACAACACTATATTTTGTGCTTGTCTAGAAAATGCTTCTTGATTTAAGAGTTTGTAGATATTTAGACTATGAACAAGACAAAACTCTGAGTACGAGCAGGTTTTCTGCAGTGTAACTTGACATAATGTGTGTTTAAAAGCGAACGTGAGGCCTGCGCGGCCGGTTAACACTGATATATTCTGAATGTTATGATGGGCTGAACTTTGGCTGGAGTCATAAACGCAGTTTTCCGATCAGCGATGTAATAAGGATGTGGAGATGAAGCTGCAGATCTTTGAACTCTTTTATGGAGGAGTGTGTGAGATGAGATTTAAGTGCAGTGTGTGTGTGTGAGAGCTCATACCGCAGTGAATGGAGGAGAGATGGAGGAGCTGAAGCAGCGGGGGCAGAAGAGGGAAGGACGACACAGGTAAAACACACACTAACTCAGTCAAGACTGCAGATAATGCTGTTCTTAATCTGAGTGTGTGTCTTGTTTCTAGTCCAAATATCTAAAAACTCTTGAATTGAGAAGCATTTTCTAGACAAGTAATACATACAGTGTTGTTTACAGAAATAATGAGTCAAAATAAAGAGAGATTCTCATTAAACAAGCAGAATAATCGTGTTTAATTTACTCCATAGTCTGATTATGTTGCTTGTTTAATGAAAACACTTCATTTTGGCTCATTATTTCTGAAAACGACTATATTTTCTGCTTGTCTAAAAATGCTTCTTGATTTAAGTGAAAAAATGTTTATGTGATAAAAACTACAATATAATTAATCTAAACACATAATCTGTATTTGCAGGAAGCAGATTAGCTAAATTAAATGGATTATATTGTGAATTTATATCTAAATGTACTTCTCTGTTGGATGTGGATGCATTTCTGATCAAATATAATGATGAAATATTCTAGTTTAAGATATGTGTTAATGAACATGTATTATGTAATGATATGTATTAAAAATCTGTTTTATTGTACCCTTAAACATATTTCTGTCGTGAAAAGCGGATTTTAATGTTATTATTTTAGTAATGAGTGACTATAGAGTCTATTAAATCTCAAGCTATTGAATTATTGAAAGACATTTTAATAATTTGGTGATTTTCTTTTAATTTATTTCAGTTTTAGTTACAGTTTTAAGTTGAGAAATGTTCCCACAGCAGATATCTGAATCTAAAAAAGTCATTATTTTACTTCAAGTAACAAGGTAATCTGTATAATTGTGTGGTTTTAGTTTGAGTTTAGTATTATAACCTTGCTTCAGTCTCACAGGATTCTTTACAGACCTGACTAATGTGCTTTTGATCATCAAGAAACATTTTTAGTTATCATCGGTGTTGAAAACAGAAAGATTTACCATTTACACATTTAGCAGATGCTGTTATTCAGAGTGAGAATAATATGAAGCAGTTGTGCTGGTTCCTGATTGTTGAAACACTTAGCGTTTAAACATTTATATATATATATATATATATATATATATATACATATTTACAAATGATCATGTGATTGTTATACCCATACTGAACCCGAGTTATTCATTTATTAGTTTATCTGAGAATAACATATCTTGAAATTTCATTAATGACCAATCAAAATCCAGTATTACAGAGAGATTTTCATTGTCAGTTTCACTTGAGGGCGACATGGTAGCTCAGTGGTCAGCACTGTAACAAGAAGGTCTCTGGTTTGAGTCTCGGCTGGGTCAGTTGGTGTTTCTGTGTGGAGTTTGCATGTTCTCCCCGTGTTGGCGTGGGTTTCCTCCGGGTGCTCCGGTTTCCCCCACAGTCCAAACACATGCGCTATAGGGGAACTGATCAACTACACTGGCCGTAGTGTACGAGTGTGTGTGGGTGTTTCCCAGTACTGGGTTGCAGCTGGAAGGGCATATCTGTGTAAAGCATATGCTGGAATAGCCCGTGACAGATAAAGGGACTGAGCTGAAGTGAAATAAATCATGTTCTCCTGATCTGTATAGCTCCATGTCGGTCTTCAGTGTCAGGTAATGGTGATGTTATGTAAGCTGTGCTGCAGATATCAGTTTACACCCATCAACATGACTGTTGAGCCACACGCTGTTGTGTAAGCATGAGGGCAGAACTGAAGGAGTGTGTGAGGGTTCTGATTGTGATGGTGTGTACAGGGACACATGGGACCCGTTCCAGCTGAACCCCATCGGGGCGGAGAAGGAGAAGAAGCAAGTGTGTTTCCGGATCCTGCAGAATCTGGTGGCGGTGCTGGTGGGTCTGGCGGTGCTGGTCAGCGGCGTCGTCAGCAAGGTCAGACAGACAGGAACACTGCCGGACCATAAACACTTATCAAACATAATAACAGCACCGCACCCTCATTACTCACAGCCTGATTCACACACAGCGGCACCAACATTTCTCTAATCATACTAATGCACAATGCAAATAACTGCTGCCCTTACTCAGAGTTTGTGTCTGGATTCTAGTCCACATTTCTACACACTCTTAAATCAAGAAGCATTTTCTAGATGAGCACAACATGTAGTGCTGTTTTTAGAAATTATGAGGAGAAATAAAGAGAGTCTTCATTAAAACAAGCAGAATAATCTGACAACAGGGGAAGAGAAAAAAAGAAATCTTCGCTTTGCAATAAGGTTTCATAAGTGAATATATTTAGTAACATGAACTAATAATGAACAATACTAGTACAGCATTTATTAATCATAGTTAAATGTTTCCTAATGCTTTATTAATATCTAAATTCAGGATTGTTGACATTAGTTAAAGCACAATAAGTTTACTTGAAATTAAATCAACACCTGTATTTTCATTAACGTACAAAATACTGTAATACTGTGTTGTTCATTGTATGTTCATGTTAATAAGTGCATTAAATAACAATAACTAATACAAGCTTATTGTAAAGTGTTACCAGAACATTACACTGCTTCCGTCATTGTCATTATTTTGCTTATTTTAAGGGAAGATCTGCTTATTTTTGACATATTATGTCTGAAAACAAAACTATATTTTAGAAAATGCTTCAATTTTAAACAAAAATTAAGTAATAAAAGCACACTTTGCCGTGTGCTTGAAATGTGGCCTTCAAATGACTGTTGCTTTCAAATATCATCCACAAATCTTTGACTGAAATAAAGTGAGACCAAACAAACTCATGAAGGAACCACATGCGAGTGATCAGATGCTCAGTACATCTTTGTGTGAGCTGTCTCATATATTATATCTGTCCTGCAGGGCTCTCTGCTGGTTCTGACCACTCTGGCTGGTCCGAAGTCTCTGAGAGATGAAGTGGAGCAGCAGTTCTACGGGCTGCTGCTGATGTGTGTTCTGGTGACCCCAAACCTCCTGATGTTCCTCAAGGCCTTGTGGAAGTGTGTCTTCAAGAGTTACGTGGCTCCAAACCCGAGAACACTGGGAATCGTGAGTTGACACACTCCTGTAATGCACATTTTGTTGTTGTGGTGGTCAGTAACCAGTCAGTCTTAATAGTGAATGGTAAGATGACGCAGACTCAGGGTAAAGTTAAGCAGACACGCTTTAGATCTTGAGTTAAAGCAGTCTAGAGCACATCGCGGTGGAGCTGTGATAACAGGGTTAACAGAACAAAACTACTGCAATGGCCAATCAAAACTAGACCAACATGACCAAACACATGTTCAGACTGAAGTGAACCCCAGACTAGAGGGAGTCATTATAAGTTAATAAATATTTTAAAAATGTAAAATAAACTTGAAAGATATTCCTGATTAAACTGTAGCTGCGGGACGTTCTTCTGTAGGATGCTTTACTGTTTTAGTTAATATTTAGCAGCCAACCTGGAGAATCCCACCAATCTGTCACAATGGAAATCAGTTGCGTCCTGAAATACACACTATACACTCAAATGTTTAGTTTCTAAGAATAATTCATGCAATATGTTAAACCTTTAACCAGGGGAATAAAAACAACCCAGTTTCACTGGAAAACTACAGGCTGGGCAGTTCTTTGTATTATCTTCTAATAATTACATGTGTTCTGTTATTTTATGGGTTTCCATGGTTCAGCCGCTCTAGTTATTAAACACAATCATGACACAAGCAGTAAATGTAAGTGTAACATCTCTAAACATCTCCCGCTGCTCATGCCTCCTCAGGTGTGTGGGATTGAGGCTCTGGTGGCGCTCGGGACCGCAATGCTGGTGCTCATTGTGATGCCAAACCTTGACATCCTCACAAACCTGTGCATCCCGGGCGGGATCTGCATCTTTTCAGCCGTGCTCCAGATCGCCTTCCGCCTGCAGACACGCAGATGGATGATCCTCTACCCCATCTGCTCCCTCATTCTAGTGGTCAGCGGATACTTTCTGCTTGGCATCGACTACTACGTGAGAGAGAAAACTTATATCAAACATTTCTCTGATCGCCTTGAGAATGTGGATGATTATATGACCTACGTGTATGTCGGCATTGCTATATTTGCGTCTCTGCTGGTTTCCCTGAACTGGTGGGAGAACCCTTTTCAGGCCAGCACCAACATCCAGGAGATGCTCAGTGAGCTGGACACATTTAGAGACACTGCTTATGTGTTCACCAGCTTCATCCGTATAGTCGTGACTCTGGCCGTGTACTTCCTGTATTTCTTTGTTATTGCAAATAATCAATTCGAATGGGACGCTTACACCAAAGCCAGCCAAGCCACGCAGGAGATCGCCCTGGGCCTGTTTTTCCTGCAGGCCTTCTGCTCGGCTGCGTGCCACTGGTTTGGAGTCGTGGCCTGTAAGATCCACGCAATGAAATTCGGCTTTGCTCTGCCGGTGTCATTGATCGGTCCAGCAACTCTGATTCTGGGCATGATCCTGTTCGTGACTCAGTCTGCACAGTTCAACCCTTCACCTGAAATCGCCGCCATAATCAAAGGAAACATCACCAATGACTTCTGGCCATTTTGCTACGAACTTAAATCTCTCAGCGATGTCAACACCACGCCGGTTGTGATGCTGGAGATCTCCTACAGCATCTGCAAGACTTCGCTCAATAATCCGTACGAGATGTGGCCGTTCTCGATGCTGGCGCTGGAGGGGGTGTGCATGTGGCTGGCGCTCGTCTCCTGCACGTATTACATCTGGAAAATCAAGGTGCAGAGGATCGAGCGCACATCGCTGCTGTTCGTACGCCGCCTGTACGAGTCCGCCTTCATTGACATCTCAATGCTACTCAACACCAAAATGAAGGTCATTCGCACGGCGAACCGGGAGAGGTACGTGCCTTCATGCATATAACAAAGACATTTTCAGTGATAAATGAAGCGGGAGAGATCTGTTGAACAGTGATGGTATGATGTTGCTGATGGTCTAACTGTGTCCTTCTGCTTTCTCTTAAGTAATAACGATGCTGAACTGGAAAACTGTGTCATTTACCTTTGTGCAACGATGTGGCATGAAACTTATGATGAGATGCTGAAAATCTTGACTTCAATGTTCAGGTATGTCAGTCATGGTGAAGTCTTATAAATGCATTACAGCTCAGATGTAATTGTTGTATTGGTTTAGAGTACGCAACAATATGCAACTTTCTCTCACCGCCAGCACCTTGATGCAGTTGCCTGTTACCAGCAAAGCAGATGGCACTGTTCCATACACAGATGTACGGTTCACTAGCTGGACTATGAATGGGGAAACTGCAACAAGATTTCAGACTTCTAGATTCCCCTATTCATTTAGACAGGGCTTTAGTCTTGGATGAGCTGTCTGAGGGCATTGCCAATCTGACCGCTGAGTGAACAGACTTGACTTGAAAGGGACCTTGACTGTTCTCCATGTCCACGGTTCCACTGGCAGGGATTGCATGTGTAATTTCAGGAGGCATATCTAGAAGCCACAACAACAGAATTCACCTAGTTTAAAGTTTTTCCAGCACTGATATAGTTTTAGAGACATTATTGTAGGTTTCATTACTGCTGCCTTAATGTTGAGGTTAGAGTTTGGGCGATATTACATCCTCACATCACCCCGGATTACACTGGTAGCACAGTCTGATGGGTAGCATGTTGGGTTACAGATATTTGCAATCTACTTTTTTGAAGTGCCACAGTCTGAGCCGGTCAGAAATCCAGGTTTGGCTTTCCTTGTTGGTTTCAGATTGGACAGATATCGAGGGGATCCAAAGGAGGAACACAAGGATTGCTTTGACTTTGAGTGCCATATCTACGTTGACGACGCCTTCATGATAGAAAAGGACTCTGGGACAAAGTTTGTCAACACCTATGTTGAAGACCTCATACATGTTGTGATGGAGGTGTACAGGTGAGGCAGAACTGTCTATCATCAACAAATGACAGTCATAAGGGGATAATAATGAGCAGCTGATCCTAAATCATCTGTTCCTGCACTCTAGGGTGTTCACCAATAAGGAGCCCGATGAGGTGTCTATCATTGAGACGCCATACGGAGGTCGACTTGTGTTCGTCATGCCCGAGGGAAACATGCTTTACGTCCACCTGAAAGACAAACAGCTGATTCGAAACAAGAAGAGATGGTCACAGGTGAACCTCACAGTCTTACTCCTTTATTTACAACCCCTCATGATGTTGATCTGAACCAAACTGAACACCTGTGCATCTGCAGATCATGTACCTGTATTACCTGCTCGGCTGGAAAGGATACAACGTCAAAAACCCTCAGAAAATAACCGTAAGTGATCATTATGTCTAACAGTGATGGCTGAGAAGTCAAGATTTATCATTATTATTGATCATGAGGAGATTTACTTATTCCAACAACCATTTACATTCACTCCTTCAGTATATACTTTTATCCAGAGCAGCTTACTCTGAGGATAAAGGAAGGAGTTAAAATCACCAGAAAACTATATTTAAAGGCCAAGTATACATTTGTTTAGACTTCTGTTTCATATACAGTATAATAATAATAATAATAATAATAATAATAATAATTAAAGACAATAATAATAATAAAGACAATAATAATAAATAATAATAGTAACAATAATTAAAGACCATGATAATAATAATAATAATAATAATAATAATAATAATTATTATTATTATTATTATAATTATAATAATAATTATAATTAAAGACAATAATAATAATAATAATAATTAAAGACAATAATAATAATAATAATGATAATAATAATAATAATAATAATAGTTAAAGATAATAATAATAATAATAATAATAATAAATAATAGTAACAATAATTAAAGACCATAATAATTATAATAATAATGATAATAATAATAATAATTATTATTATTATTATTATTATTGTTATTATTATTATTAAAGACAATAATAATAATAATTAAAGACAATAATATAATAATAATAATTCAAGATAATACTACTACTACTAATAATAATAGTAATAATAATAATAAAGAGCTAGTATTTTTTAGCAGGTCAGATCAATATTTTATGTCTAATAGTTTGTAATAATCAGGATAATGTGCATCCAGCCGGTGGTTATTTCAGAATAACCCCTTCAGTCCTGCACAACATTTGTTAATGCACTTTAGTTTCCACACACTCAGATTACTGCTGATATGAATTATTGCTGATGTAATGTAGTGAAGTTCTGCATTTGTAGATCATCTTTACCGTCACACATACAGTGTTTGCATGTGGTGTGTTCTTACAGAGACAAAACAATCCCTGCCGTGCCAGTCTTGTTTCGCTGGATAGTGAGACGTATTTACTGCCCGGTCTGGATAATGACAGTAAAAGGAGGCATATATCTGACGACAACACATACATCATGGCTCTGGACGGAGACACAGACTTCCACCCGAAGGCTCTGATTCTGCTGGTGGACCGATTGAGGATGTACGACAACGTGGGCGCAGCTTGCGGACGCATTCATCCAACTGGAATGGGTAAGATCATGCGTTTACTGTCATGTTTCTAGTCCAAATATCTAAACATTCCTAAATCAAGAAACATTTTCTAGACGAGTAATGAATATAGTCCTGTTTCCAGAAATAATGAGTCAAAATGAAGAGAGCTTATCCTTAAAATAAGCTAAATAATCTGAGAATAGGGAAGTAAACTTGTTTTATGGAAAGCTCTCTTTTTTTGACTTATTTAACAAGACAGTGTTATTTGCTTGTCTAGAAAATGTTTCTTGGTTCAAGAGTTTTGATGTTTGTACCAGAAACAAAACACAGACTCTGAGTAAGAACATAATATTTCACATTCATGTTGCTGTTTTGGGAAACACTTCACCTGAAGAGGTGTTCATGAGACCGTCGTGACACCTTTATAATCATGATTTATGTATGTGATTGAGATTTTATGCACACTTATGACAACTGTTATTAAGTGTCATTAGGTCAGTTGTCATTTCAAATGGAAAGATGACATTGTCAGTGATGTCTTTAGCATGGCAACTTGACATTTTCAAGACAGCATAACTTGTCATAAACCTGTCATTAACATGATTGTCATGAGGTCATTATAACTGTGATTTCAGGCTTTTAGAGGTTTTTGCATGTGAACTCTTAATTTCTTGACAAATTCAACTCGTGCCACTGTAGTTAGGGTCAAGGTAAATATTAATCATGTTTATGACTGATTTATGACAGGTTATGTTGTCCTGATAGTGTCAGGTTGTCATAACACAGACACCTCAAACCATGTCTTCTTTGCCTTTAAATGACATAACTGAGCTAATGACACTTCATAACAGCTGTTATAAGCATGCAGTTAATTTCACATTATTATTATTATTATTATAAAAGTTTCCTCTTCAAGTGCAGTGTCTCCCTGTTGTGTAACAGTATTTCACAGTAATGACTTAAAGGAAGAAATAAAAAGAGACTGATTATACAGCAGATAATGATGCACATGTTTATAGACCTGCTGTTCAAACCCTGATCACAAAGCAAAGTCCAGTGGCATTAAACCACACCACACCACCCATACTGGGACGATGCATCCTCAAGATAGCTAATCTCAGCAAAACATGACAGTCACATTTTACAGTGTGATGATAACTGGGCTCAGCTATCAGGAAGATTAAGCTGGAAATAAACCTCCTCTGAGGCATTTGATATAATAAAGCTGATATGAGTAGTTTGATTATAATATAATGTATAAGAATCAATATAGAAACAACACTGGACTACAGTCAGATGTGATTGTGATCAGATGTGATGTGAATGTGGTCAGATGTTGTAATTGTGATCAGATGTGATGTTGTGAATGTGACCAGATGTTGTGTGTGGTCAGATGTGATGTTGTGAGTGTGATCAGATGTGATGTTGTGTGTTGTGAGTATTATCAGATGGTATTTTGTGAATGTGATCAGATGTTATGTGATCAGATGGGATGTGATGTGAATGTGATCAGATGTTTTGATAGGATCAGATGTGATGTGATTGTGGATCTGATCAGATGTGTTGTGAATGTGATCAGATGTGATGTTGTGAATGTGATCAGATGATGTGAATGTGATCAGATGTGATGTAGTCAGTGTGATCAGAGTTGTGATTGTGATCAGATGTGATGTGATTGTGGATTTGATCAGATGTGATTGTGAATGTGATCAGATGTTGTGTTTGTGATCAGATGGGATATTGTGAGTGTGATCAGATGTTGTGAATGTGATCAGATGTGATGTTGTGAATGTGATCAGATGTTGTGAATGTGATCAGATGTTTTGAATGTGATCAGATGTGATGTTGTGAATGTGATCAGATGTTTTGAATGTGATCAGATGTGATGTTGTGAATGTGATCAGATGTGATGTGATATGATGTGAATGTGATCAGATATGATGTGAATGTGATCAGATGTTTTGAATGTGATCAGATGTGATGTTGTGAATGTGATCAGATGTGATGTGATATGATGTGAATGTGATCAGATATGATGTGAATGTGATCAGATGTTTTGAATGTGATCAGATGTGTTGTTGTGAATGTGATCAGATGTGATGTGATATGATGTGAATGTGATCAGATATGATGTTGTGAGTGTGATCAGATGTGATGTTGTGTGATGTGAGTATTATCAGATGTGATTGTGAATGTGATCAGATGTTGCGAGTGTGATCAGATGTGAATATGATCAGATGTGATGTTGTGTGATGCGTGTATTATCAGATGTGATGTTGTGAATGTGGTGTTTCAGGACCGATGGTGTGGTATCAGAAGTTTGAGTATGCGGTGGGCCACTGGCTCCAGAAAACAGCAGAGCACGTGTTCGGTTCGGTTCTCTGCAGTCCCGGATGCTTCAGTCTGTTCAGAGGATCTGCACTGATGGACGACAACGTACTGAAGAGATACACAACTAAAGCTACTCGCGCATCTGAGTATGTGCAGTACGATCAAGGTAAACACACCAGCGGCTCCGGGAGGAACTCAATACATGTTATGGCGTTACGTAAGCAGGATAAATAATCTGCTAACAGTAATTCATTACAGTTACGTCAGAGTAATCAGATTAGTGATACTTAATAAAAGAACAGGGAAGTTTATCAGGATTACAACCGTGAAGTTTGAAATGAAATACAAAGTATATTGGCATCATTATAACACCTTATAACTGCTGCTTGATGAGTATATAGTCATTCATGGTTCAGTTGTGTCATTACTCACATGAGCCACCTACTGGTACATGCACAAATAATAAAGGAAGAAACAAAACATTATTAGCGGAAACATGTCTTGTTTTTGAGTTTTTCCTTTCTTTGTTTGTAGTTTTTGTCTTGTTTCTAGTCCAAATACCTGAAATAATTGACAAGTAGAATTAATTACCTTTCAATACAAGTGTTTTCAGAAATAATGAATCAAAATGAAGACTAGACAATACCTTTAACTGGTTATTTTTAGGTATTTGGACTAGAACAAGACAAAAACTCCAAGTAAAAACACTTTTTGTGCAGTGCATCTGCTTTTTGTTTTTAGAGGTTTAGTGAAGGCGGCTCATTTTGACCTGAAAGACGAAGACTGCCTGTTTTCTGCAATGCTGATTGAGTGTTAAAGCTGTGGATCCTGTAAGCTTCAGCTGTGTGTGTGTGTGTGTGTGTGTGTGTGTGTGTAGGGGAGGACCGCTGGCTGTGCACTCTCCTCCTGCAGCAGGGCTGGCGGGTGGAGTATAACGCCGCCTCGGACGCCTACACCAACTCTCCGCAGGAGTTCAAGGAGTTTTACAACCAGAGGCGGCGCTGGGGTCCGTCAACCCTGGCCAACACCCTGGACCTGCTGCACAGCGGGAAGGAGACGGTCAAGAGGAACACCTCCATATCCATGCTCTACATCCTCTATCAGATCTTCACCGTGGCCTCCTCCATCCTGGGACCCGCGTCTGTCACGCTCATGATCGCAGGTACATCAACAACCGCTGGGTCAAGGCAGAGCTGTATTCGGTCATACTCGCTCCTGAAAACAGCTAATTATGTTCTTACTTACAGTTTTGTTGTGTTTCCAGCCCAAATATATATATAAATATACAGCTGAAGTCAGAATTATTCACCCCGCTGTTTATTTTTCCCCAGTTTCTGTTCAACAGAGAGCAGATTTCTCCAGCACATCTCTGCACATAACAGTGTTAATAACTCATCTCTAATAACTGATGTGTTTCCTCTCCACTATGATGACAGCACATAAGACACTTCTATACAGCTTACAGTGACATGTAAAGGCTTCACTAGGGTAATTAGGGTAAAGTTAGGGTAATTAGGCAAGTCATTGTATAACAGTGGTTTGTTCTGGAGACTATCATAAACACAAATAGCTTAAAGGGGCGAATAATTCAGACCTTAAAATGGCTTTTAAAAAATTAAAAAACTGCTTTTATTCCAGCCGAAATAAAACAAATAAGACTTTCAACAGGGGAAAAATATTATCAGACATACTGTGAACATTTCCTTGCTCTGTTCAACATCATTTAGGAAATATTTTCTGACTTCAACTGTATATTTAATTTAATTAAGAAGCATTTTCTATAGATATAGTCTTGCTTTCAGAAATAGTGAGTCAAAATAAAGCAAAATAATCTGCCGAGACAAGTCAAATACACTTAATTCAAAGAGAAAACAAGATTATTTTGCTTGCTTTAAGGAAAACACACCTAAGATTATTTCTGAAAACAAGACTACACCTTTTGCTTGTCTATAAATGCTTCATGAATTAAAGGATTTTTTTAGAGATTTGGACTAGAAACAAGACAGAAACTCTCAGTAAGAACAGAGTTTATTAGTTAATCAGGCTGAGCTGGAGAATCATTGCACATTTGATGGTTTGTTTTGTCAATGTTACCTTCCTAAGCCGGCTCTTGTTTTGTGACAATTTTTTATTGTCTTTTATAAAGATATATATATTTATATTTAAATAAAGCATGCTAGACCTGTTGTAAAGCATCACAGATATGTGTCACACAAGACCAAAAGAAGGGTTGGAGAATGTGTCCGCCATGCATTTGTGGTTCATGAGTCCTCACGATACCCATCAAGCAGATCGTCTGGAAATCTGGAACAACTTGTGGATTTCCCCAGATGGACGTCTTTAAACTCATCTAAGATCCAAGAGATTCAATCACTTGTTTAAATTAAACCATGATTGTGTTTGATAACTATGATCCTGTGTACTTGAGTACAGAATAAACCGATGCTGCGTCTTTCCTCTTCCTCCATCTCAGGAGCGTTCCAGTTTGTGTTTGGCGTGTCCGGCACTCTCTCCATCATAATCGCTGTCATCCCTCCAGTGTTTTACATGCTCATCTGTTTCCTGGCCAAACCCAACCTACAAATCACCATCGCCGCCATTCTCAGCGTCATTTACGCCTTCCTGATGACGGCATCCTTCTTCGCCATCATCGGTAACTATTCTTCATTTATATTTGAGCTGTGTGGAATATGTGCTCGTGACACTGCATCTCCTCACGCTAGGTGACATGGTGATCCAGGGCACATTCATAACCCCCACCGGCCTGTTCCTGGTGTCCGGCGCTATCCTGTACATGGTGACGGCGGTGCTCCACCCGCAGGAGTGCACGCTGATCATCTACGGCCTGATGTACTTCATCTGCATCCCCAGCGGGTATCTCCTGCTCACCATATACTCGCTGGTCAACATGCACATCGTGTCCTGGGGCACGCGGGAGTCCACCAAAGGCAAGGAGCAGAAAAAGCAGGTGGGTGTGGTGTGCAACCGAGACTGCAGGATGTGCTGCTGGGATGTCAAGATCCAGGTCACGCAGGAGACCGAGAACCTCCTCCTTCAGCAAATGCAGCAGGCCGTCAATCCCACCGCCGCCGCCGCAGCTAAAGCGGAGCCGGAAGAGCCGGCGACTCTGAGCGCAGCTCCAGAACACAGCAGTGTGGAGATCAGCAGACACGTCCAGGAGAAAAACATGGAGAACAAGAAGGACCAGAGCAAGGAGAACCTCAACAAGGACAACAAGGAGAGAGACTCAGAGTCTGAGAGAAGGTGAGAGAGTCCGTTTCTGTTTCTGCGATGATGAATTACAGCATGAGCACTGCAATAATGATCAATAACTGCTGGATGTGTGCTTTATTCAGAGTTAAGTGCTCTCAGTGTGGGTCTGAACACCAGTTTACCTGACATTTAGTGTCATCCTGAAAGCAGAAGCAGATATAGGCTGTGTCTGAATCACTTCTACTACTTGAGTCTCGATAAATACTTCAGGATACTGCAGTTGAGTTTACCACACAACTGTTGGAGAAGTGTGCTCTATATAGTATGAATGCAGTAGTATGAATGGGATTGGGATGTTCTACATCCACTGTTTGTCATGTCACTTGCGGTGCATTATGGGACACAAAGTAGTAGGTCATCCGGGTGCTTCTCACATACTGATTTTACAGTACTATGAATTCGGATCGCTGACAGTGGCTTAGCATTGTCGCCTCACAGCAAGAAGGTCTCTGGTTTGAGTCTCGGCTTGGTCAGTTGGTGTTTCTGTGTGGAGTTTGCATGTTCTCCCTGTGTTGGCATGGGTTTCCTCCGGGTGCTCCGGTTTCTCCCACAGTCCAAACACATGCATATGAGTGTGACTACGTTTGTATGGGTGTTTCCCAGTACTGGGTTGCAGCTGGAAGGGCATCTGCTATGTAAAACATGTGCTGGAATAGTTGGCGGTTCATTCCGCTGTGGTGACCCCAGGTTAATAAAGGGAATAAGAAAATAAATGAATGCAGATATTCCCCTGGGCTCGCCTACTGTTTTCCACATACTATACAGTAGGGAAGTGTGTAATTGTAGACGCAGCCATAGTTTACCTCTTTACCTAGATGTCGGTAGTTTACCTCAGATCTCCGCCGCTGAGACTGCAGCTCTGCTCAAGACGTTTGGCCAGCGGAGAAATTAAAGTGGTCGTGCCCGAGTGAGTCTGGTTTCCCTCAAGGTTTTTTTCTTTACTCTCGCCAATCGGTGAAGTTTTTCCCCTCTCCACTGTCGCAACTAGCTTGCATGATTTGGGATCGGTAGAGCTAGGCATGGATGTATGTGCTGCTCAGTGTTTAGGCCCTCAATAGTGGCTAATAAACCACACTGAGCTGAGCTGAAACACTAAATACTGAACTACACTGTTTCAGTGTGAGTCTTTTATGTGAAGCTGCTCTGACACAGTCTACATTGTGAAAGCGCTCTACAAATACAAGTGAATTGAAATGAATCTTCAAATGTAGACAGGGGAATTGCTTGTTGTGTAGTCTTATAGCGGCACATGCTGTTAGCATACGCTGTAAAACCTCTTCAACACTGTTTCTCTGACTCCATCTTACAGCAGCAGCTCCAGCAGCTCTGAGAAGAAGATGGACACGTTCAATGACGACACAGACTATGAGGACACAGACTACGATGATGATGACGACGACGAGGATTATGATTATAATACTGTGGAGCCCAAAGAAGTTGTGCCTGAGAGCGGTAAGAGACGCCGTCATATCCCCCTGAGAGCTCACTAGTGCGTATGCTGGACGAGTTAACATCCTGAAACCCCTGCTGAAGATGACTGGTGGCCAGTGAAGAGGAGAGAGCGGCGGAGGGATGAGTTCTCTCTCCTGCATGAGCTTTTATAAAGCATCACCCTCAGACCTGCGGCTCTCCTCTCCCTGGTGTTGATGTGGAGATCTTCTCTTGGTTTTTAGTCTAAATGTCTAAACATTCTTACATCAACAAGCTAAATACAGTGCTGTTTTCAGCAATGATGAGTCGAAATGAAGAGAGTTACTCTCCAACACAAGCAGAATAATCTGACAATGGAGGAAGAGGAGTCATGTTCTGTCAAAGAAAAACAGGATCATTTTCTAACACCGCTGGCAGATTATTCTGCTTGTTTTAAGGAGAAACTCTCTTCATTTCTCGTCGTCATTGCTGAAAACAGCACTATATTGTTGTGCTTGTCTAGAACATGCTGACTGATTTAAGAGCTTTTGGATATTCACAAACTCAAGACACAATCTCTGAGTGAGAGCAGATGTTGTGTTGTGTCTCCTGCTGTTGGTGAGCTGCTCTGAGCATTGATCTATTATTCACCTGTATTTGTGTCCAAACACTCAGCCTGGGTGGAGCCCGTGAAGAGGGAGTTCCTGAAGAAGCTGACCTACGCCAATCTGAAGAGGAACCTTCAGGAGCAGATCCGCTACACGCTGAGGAACAAGAACCAGGAGGACCTGTGCGAGGAGCTGGTGCTGATCCTGACCGACACGCTGAACGACGAGCTGAAGGATAAAGTGGGTCCTGAAGACGTCTTGACCGAGACGCAGCTGGAGGAACTGCAGTATGCGCTCAATGAAGCGGCGCGGCGCATCGTCAAGACCAACCGCATCGAGACCGGCTCACAGCGGGTGGAGCGGCGGGTCAAACGGGGCATCGAGAGGACGCTGGTGGCGCCGCAGGTGGAGAAACTGTCAGAGGTGATGATTCAGTGCAAACATCTGCTCTCACTTTCACCACAACACGAGCTCCAGTAAAGCGGAAATCAGCTGTTTAAAATAAGCAGCAGTCAGATTAGATAAGCGGAGCGTCTTATTATTCGACATGTTTAATGAACGATATTCCTCCGTCATCATCAGGACGAGCAGGATTTCTGGGAGAAGCTGTTGGAGCGCTACCTGAAGCCCATTCAGGATGATAAAGCTCATCTGGAGGAGGTGACGCGGGAGCTCAAGTCTCTGAGGAACAAAGTAAGCAGAGAGAAACGCAGAGTAACGTGCTGATGCGTCTGCTCACGTGTGCTGACGGTGTGCTTGTCTCTGTGTCCGCAGGCCGTGTTTCTGTACTTCATCATTAACGTCCTCTGGGTCGTAGCCACGTTCTTCCTGCAGGCCATCGGCGGAGACGTTCTGAGTATAGAAATCCCCAAATATTACCCCAATAAAACCCTGGCCCCGGAGCCCCTGAGGGTGGAGCCGCTCAGCCTGATGTTCCTGCTGTCCTTCGCCGTCCTGCTGGTCGTGCAGTTCCTGGCTATGCTGTACCACAGGTACCACAACACACTTCAGCTCCTCACTGACCATCAATGCCCTGCACATGTACTCCTGCTAACAACTTAGCTTGTTAACAACAACTTAATAACAACTACAAATGAGCTCCGTCACATTTCCCCAACATTAATGATGCAGCTCATGCATGTGTAGCATCTCATCATCACGGTTTAAGGAGGATTAAGGAGGAATGGCTGAAATGTAGCCACAATTCTGCAACAAGTCTTACCTATATAAGACAACACTATAAACAATCCGAGATGGGTCTGGCTGCAGACCTGGTGCAGTGCAATCTGGGCTGCATCCAATGCTTTTTAATGGGCTCACCTAACTCCACCCCTCACAGTGCATCACTCGCTCTGTTTGAGTGCATTGTGTCTGACACTGCATCGCTGAGTGATGCAGTCTCAGCTTGCATCATAAAGGCTGCATCCAGATATTATTGAAGAATCCTGGTTCCCTTAAATAATTCAGCTGAATCAGTCACCCTGAGCTTATACTATGTTGAGCAGACTTAAAACTGCTTGCATGATTACTGAAATGAAGTCAGGTCATGATTAACTCAGATTAATCAGGTACAGTGAGCTTCAGCATACAGCATGCCGTCAGGACTGATTGATCATGTCGTGTTTAACCGTGTGTATATACTGTATGGGTTCAGCAGCGGTGTTGTCTGTGATTGCAGGGTCTACACGCTCATCCATGTGGTGTCGTACAGAAGCTCAGAGAAGAACTATAAAGAGAAGGATGAGGTGAGACGCGCATCCTCCTGCTGGTGTTACAGCATCTGCTCTGAGCTCTTCAGTAATGCTGTGATGGTTTTGTTGTTGACAGGAGGATGAGGAAGATGCGCTGATCTTGGGGAACATCATCCCCAGCAGTCTGGTGATCACCGGAGACGACCTGTTGAACGGAGACTCCTTCATTCCGAGTTAACGGAGCGCAGGGGGAAATGAACTGAAGAGTGAGTCAGGCCGATGGACAGCACACGCCTGACGCTGGAGCTGGAGTTTGAGCTTGTTTACTGTACATATTTGCACTGAATGAGTCACGTTTATATCTCTACTTTAAACTGTGTTTTACTTTTGATCAAATGTCTTCATATTTTAGTTTGTCATAATAAATATTCCTGAACAAACTGCTGCAGCAGAGCTTATTACTGTTCACAACCATATCAAGTATCTGTCATCTGAGATCATCATGCACCAGTGTCCTTCATCATTTTCATCTGTAGATCTTAAAAAACACTTACAGGAAACCTCTTATTCCTCTTTCTACAAGCTGTAAATGCGTCTCTGCTGTCTCTCCCGTGTGTGTGTGTGTGAGTTTGAGCTGAGAACAGCACACAGATCATGTCCTCCAGCTCTCTGAAACTGACCCTTTCAGGCTTTGATCCTAACTGTGGTGTTTGGTGACCGTCGCTTTAAATGCAAATGAGATTGTGCTCTTTTCAAAATAGGGCGGAGCTACAGATGCATTTGTATGACAGATGTGAAACAGCAGTGTGTGTTGTGAGTGTAGGTCAGGTGTGTGTGTGTGTGCTTCAGTGTGGGTGTGTGTGATGCTTCTGTCAGTTTATATGTCTCCTGTTTCTGTTCATCATCACCTCCACATCTGTAATCCTCTTAGTCTATGCTGACATCATCTTCAGCAGCTCTAATGGCTAATGGACAGACGGCTGCTGCTCACTCAGGCCTGCTGGACATGCTAATGAGATGGAGACTAGTGGGCGGAGCTTCCACCCCTCTGATGACACGTACAAAGGAAGAATGTCAATCACAGTGTTTCTGCATCAAGTCTGATTCTATAACATAAATCATTACTCCCGTCAGTGAAAAGTCAACAGACAGAACAACAACATCATCATTACAGGTTTATTATTTTCTCTATG